ATGAGCTTAAAGCTCTTTTCCAGCCTGGTTGTTTCTGTGGTTCTCCCTGGGCAGGGTCAGCTGCAGCAGCTTGTCTGGGTCTCTAAATGTCTCTGAGGATGGAGACTGCCCCCCCTGTCTGAGCACCCTGTTCCAACGTCCCTCCCTCCTCATGGGTTTTCCTTATGCTCAGAGGGAATTTCTTGTGGTTTGGTTTGTACCTGTTGCCTCTCGTCCTCTCGCTGGCCCCCAGTGAGAATGGAGTTTGCTTCCCTTACGTTCTCCAGTCAGATATGCATTGATGGGAGCCATCATCTCTCCAGGCAAAACAGGCCCAGCTTGCTCAGTGTCTCGTGATGTGAGAGATGCTTCAGTGCTTTCACCATCCTTGTGGCCCAGCACTGGTTTTGCTCCAGCAGGTCTCTGTATTTCTCCTTATGAAGGAGCCCAAAAACAGCCCCACACTCCAGCTGCAGCCTCACCAGTGCTGAGCAGTGGGGAGGGATCACCTCCCCCGACCTGCTGGCAACAAGACCCTCTTGTGTTCTTTTTAATTCAGGAGCAGAAGAGCAATGGCTTTGAGAATGGTCCGTGTGCCTTGTCAGTGTGAGGTGACCGGCTGATGCTTGAACACCAGCTGGCCTTTCTCTCCGCGCTCAGATCCCAAAATGGGGAGGTAAGAATCCCAAAGGAACTGTCAAACTCAGTTGCGGTGTCTGCTGGGTGAAGTACAGGGAACCTGGGTGTGAATTCATGGCAAATCATAAGTTCAAAGGTGGGAATAGTGTCTTGAGTGCACTCAAACCAGAGCATGAGCAAAGCTAGAGCAGAGCAAGGTTGTATGGAGCATCTCTTTGTCCTGAGCTTGTTTCGAAATGCAGTCTGCTGCTTTTTGGTCCTAAAGCCCCTTTTTAAAGCAGATTCTCCTCTTTGAATTTTTAGGATCAGCATCTCGTGTTTGCTGCCTGCTTCTTGGCACTTCAGCATCTCTCCAGTGGGATGCCCACGGCTTCTCAACACCACCTTGCGACAGATCCTGGTGATAGGAGTTCTTGCTGCGGCTGTCTCTGTGCTTTACTACTCCCTGGTGGTCATCCGCAATAAGTATGGGCGTGCACACAGGGACAAAAGATTCCACAGGTGAGAGCTGGAAAGGGCTGAAGTGTCAAAGAGAACACGCTGACGGGTTGGGGCTGAAAGTGAATGATTGGGGTGGAAAAAGTAGGAATCGAACTTCCTGCTTTCTTTACAGAGCTTTCTGTACCTGAGGGGCCTTTATTTATCAATAATTCAACTTTCTAATACTTTACATTCTCAAAGCCATTGCTCTTCTGAGGAAAAGCTTCCATGTGGAACTTAATTGCCACATAATAATGCTTAGTTTCCTCCTAGATATCTCGCCCGAGTGACTGACACTGAAGCTACAGATACCAACAACCCCAACCTGAACTATGGAATCGTTGTGGACTGTGGCAGCAGTGGCTCCAGGATTTTTGTGTATTGCTGGCCAAGGCACAATGGGAATCCACACGATCTGTTGGACATCAAACAGATGAGGGACAAAACCAGAAAACCAGTGGTTATGAAAATTAAACCAGGTACTGGAAAGAAATTAACTTGAGATGTTGCTTTGTAGATAGTTGCCTGTCCAGACTTGGCTTAATCCAACCCCATGTTTAAAGTGTCTGGATAAAGGCCACTTGCAAGCTGTCAGTGGTACAAAGCACCCCTCCAGGCTGCTTGGAGCTTTGTTTGCAGAGAGCTTTGTTCAGCTTTAAAGCTTGAAACATGGTGTTGATGAGCAGGAGGGAGAGGCTTCTCTGGGGAGTAAGACAGTTGCTGGTTCAGTTGTCAGTTAACTCAGTTCTGTTTGTGTTGGCTTTCTGTAAAGCTCTTTGAGCCAATGATATAAGTACATAATATGTCTAATACAGGGGTTTGATTGTTTAGAGGATGGTGAAGTGTTAGCTTCATCCTTGTTTCTGTAGTTGATTTCCTGGGTTTCACAGAATGGTTTGGGTTGGAAGGGACCTTAAAGCTCACCCAGTTCCAAGCCCCTGCCACGGCCATGTTTGGATTTGGGTGGTTGGTTTCTCCTCTGTGTGTTGACTATCAAGATTTTCCAGGAAGTGCCTTGGGCTGCTTCAGCTTCCCCTGTCTCTGTTTCACCAGGCATCTCGGAGTTTGCCAGCTCTCCTGAAAAGGTCAGTGATTACATTTCTCCACTTCTGAGCTTTGCTGCCCAACACGTGCCACGTGCAAAGCACAAAGAGACTCCTCTTTATATTCTGTGTACTGCAGGAATGAGGATTCTGCCAGAAAGGTTATTGCCTGTTGTATTTTTAGCATTTAGAATAGCAATCCTGGTGTGTGTGGCTATTTATAACTGCTCAAATGGAACTTTGCAGCCAGCAGAAGGCAATACTTGAAGATCTGCTCACTGATATTCCTGTGCACTTTGATTTCCTGTTCTCGGACTCGCATGCAGAGGTTATTTCAGGGAAGCAGGAAGGTAGGTTAGTGTTGGGAAAATTACCTTTGAGTTCCTTATTACATTCATGGTCCAAATATATTTCCAAATATATTGGATATGTTTTGTTGCTCCTTAAAATTCTTGGTTGGTTGAGAGACCTTGTTCCTCAGTAGCAACATATGGAGTGTGGAGATGATCATCTGCTGGGAGCTTCTAACTTGTCTAAATGTTTTCTATTTAGCACTGAAAATAACTTCTCTGTGCTTAGCAGGGATTTTAGGCCATTTTCTCTTACTTCAGGGAGGGAGCCACAAAAATCTTGCTGGAAGAAACTTTGCAGGGAAAAATGGTTTCTAAAGAAGGGATATTTTGATGTGATCAGCTTAAAAATCACTTTAAAATCGAATGTGCTTGCTTGTTCTGGAATTCACACATCAGGTTGACTTTAATACAGTGCATTAGGATAACTGACTTGGGAGAGAACAGCTAGAATAACTGACCAGGGATGTTTAGCTTCTGAGTGTTCTATGTAAGAAAATATGAGCCATGATGTATCTTAACAGCTGTGCAAAGAAAGAGGAGATGTACCAGATATTCTTGAAATGCCCATATGTGTTTTCTTATGCATGTAGGAGTATATGCATGGATTGGCATCAACTTTGTCCTTGGAAGATTTGAACATACAGATGATGGTAAGTATCTTCACTGCGAACTGGATTTTAGGAAGGACTTGGGTACCTTTCCCTGTTGCTGGTCTGGTTTTAGACTGAGATGTCAGTGAATAGTGTGTGTGTGCAGCAAATGTTGGCTTCGTTCGTACCTGAACCTTCACTGAGCTGCATTGCTGCAAACAAGAAGTTAACTGGCAGTGTACTGCTGCTTCAGGCCCACCCTGGTTGTAGTTCTCACTGCCTGTTTGCTGTTGTATGCAGAGGATGAGGCCATTGTGGAGGTGCATGTCCCGGGCAGTGAGAACCAAGAGGCCATCTTCCGCAAGAGGACAGTGGGTGTCCTTGACATGGGGGGAGTGTCGACCCAGATAGCGTACGAAGTCCCTAAAACTGTAAGCTTTGCCTCTTCACAGCAGGTTATTATCTGTGCAACTTTCTTCTTTTCCTTTTGATTTATTTTAATGCATCCTTTTTGTTATTTTCTTTGTGTTGAGTCGTCTTCTTCATGACATCCCATTCCAAAACCGAGGCATGAGAAGATGGCAAATCCGAGTCCTTCATCAGCTGAGCAATTCATTTGTCTTTTGGTCATTCAGAAAGTTTATTTCAGTTAGTATAATTTGCCACATGCATTCTCTGTGTGTCTGCATGTATGTTAAATGTGCTCTGCTTAAGAAAGTGGATTCTGGAGTTTAGAAACTTGAGAGACTCAGAGCAGATTGCCCCAGGCCAACGTGAAATGGAAAGAGAGTTGCAGACAATTGATGATGACTCTTGTATGGCTCCATGTGAACAGAACCTGATAGAAAATAGGTATTTGGTCATGGAACCTGCCCAGGTTCCCAAACAGGATGACAAGAGAGTCAAACAGCTGACTGTGAGGTTTGCAGTGCTAGTGCTGGTTTTCATTTCCAGTGCTGGGTGGAATCCATGCTATGTTGTGCTACGCTTCTGAGCATGTTCCACATGAAGTGCTTCTGCTGCACATCTCTTAACTGAAAACCTACTGCAAGTGACTACTGTGTGGTATGTGAGGAGAGCAGAGTGACTGCCAGGTCTCCCGAAAGCTTGAGAACTCCAGGTTGGAAAATGAACTGAAATTAGTACATCCTTTTACATAGGAGAAGATAACTTTAGTGTCCATAGGAGCAGTGTTGGCCTTTGCAAGTATCCTTGAGTATCAGCAGTGATAGTGCAATTGATATTCTTGCTCTCCCTATGAAGTAGAAGGTAATGTGGACCTGTGAAAAGCAAAATTAGATGAGTAAGGAGTGAAGTTTAAAGATGTCAAGGGCATCCAGTTGTCCAAAGAACTCATCTTTAGGTTCTGGTTCATATTGTTTGTACCTAATCTTGGTGCTTGTGTTCCTGCAGGAGGAAGTAGCCAAAAACCTACTTGCAGAATTCAACTTGGGCTGCGATGCTCATCAAACTGAGCACGTGTACAGAGTCTACGTCGCAACATTCCTTGGCTTTGGGGGAAATGCAGCACGCCAGAGATATGAAGACAATCTATTTACCAGTACAGTGCTTAAAAACAGGTAGCTGGCTGCAGTTGCTTGGACATATGGGTTCTGTTCATCACCAGGCTCCCTAAATTCCTGAGTTAAATATATTTAGTAAAGTGTCCTCATGTAAAACTCTACAGCGTGCAATGCTGAAGTTCCTTTAAATGAGGCTGGTTTGATGCTGTTGTATCTCGGAGCTTGATGTTTCTGATTTGCAGTTGTTACTGTGCTTGCTCTTTTCTACAGACTGCTGGGCAAGCAGACTGGCCTGACTTCTGACTCGCCTTACCTGGATCCTTGCCTGCCCCTGGATGCTCAGGATGAGATCCAGCAGAGCGGACAGACCATGTATTTGCGGGGAACAGGAGACTTCAACCTGTGCCGTGAGATGATCCAGCCCTTCATGAATAAGACTAATGAAACACAGACCTCTCTCAATGGTGTCTATCAGCCTGCTGTGCACTTCCAGAACAGTGAGTTCTATGGTTTCTCAGAGTTCTACTACTGCACCGAGGACGTGTTGCGTATGGGAGGAGATTACAATGCTGCTAAATTCACTAAAGCTGCAAAGGTAAAGTGGTCTGGAGAGAAACTCCTTCTAATTCAAAACAACTACTCTCCAGAAGCATTTTATTCTGACAGTCTTGCCACAAAACTCTTCCTTTAAAGATCCCAAATCCTTTTTCCCTCCAATGAACTATCACAGGGAATCTCTTTTCCTTATTAGTTTTCCTTTTAGAATACTTGTTTGAAGGCACAAAAGTAACATTGGCTGTAGAGGGGATGGGACTTGTGGTAGTCAAGTTCCAGCAGAACTATTGCTAACGAGAAAATCCATGCTGCTCCCAGCCTGTGCTGCCTTTTAGGAATGGATTGGTTGTTAGGAAAGGACCCTTTTCCTCTTGCTTTATGCATTTTGTACCAGTTTCCTAGGGGTTACTCCTAACAGGGCCCATCTGTTGGAGACAGTTTAAAGTAAGGCTACAACATAAAATAGAGATTGCTTTTTCTTTTTTGTCAATCCCCTAAAAATAGGTTGTCTGTTTTCCACCTCCAGGTATGTGCCCAAAGAGTTTAAGTGCCACTGAATATTAATTGAACCATAAATGGATCAAACTGTTGCAGAAAATACTGTGAAATCTGTGCTCTGACTTCTTAACAGTGCAAAGGAAGCTGCTATTTGTTAGTTTTCCTTCTGGTATTTACACAGTGTCTTATCTAGTGGCATTTTTCTCTTCTCAAGGCAGAAGCAGTGTTGAAACCTTTCTGCTTTCTTTTCTTTCCTTGAAGGATTATTGTGCCACTAAGTGGTCTGTCCTCCGGGAGCGTTTTGACCGTGGTCTTTATGCATCACATGCTGATCTTCACAGATTGAAGTGAGTGTTTGTGTTTGTTTGTACAGCAAATTCCTTCACACAGAGTTGCTAGAGAGAGGTCAAGGTCATGTCTAACTGATCCATTTAATTAAATCATTGAAAGTGTGAATATAACTGTAAATATTGCATCAGCCATGAAAACAGCGCTGATAATTGTGTCTAATTGTGCTCCCCAGCCCTCTGGGACTCTTTAACTGCTGGCCTGACTTTATGCCACTCTTCCTCTAGGTACCAGTGTTTCAAGTCTGCCTGGATGTATGAAGTGTTTCACAGTGGCTTCTCTTTTCCTGTGAGTTACAGCAATTTGAAAACAGCTCTGCAGGTTTATGATAAAGAAGTGCAGTGGACCTTGGGAGCCATTCTTTACCGAACACGGTTTTTACCTTTAAGGTACCAGTTGTTCTCTGTGATGTCCAGAAAGAACATTTGGGTGGAAGGTGTGGGAGGTTTGTGGTTGACAGGCTGAGAGAGCTGGGCTGGGGCAGCTGGAGAAGAGAAGGCTCCTCAAGGGGACACCTTAGAGCAGCTCCAGTGCCTAAAGGGGCTGCAGGAAACCTGGAGAGGGGCTTTGGACAAGGGATGGAGGGACAGGACAAGGGGAATGGCTTGAACCTGCCAGAGGGGAGATTGAGATGAGCTCTGAGGCAGAAGCTCTTCCCTGTGAGGGTGCTGAGGCGCTGGCACAGGGTGCCCAGGGAAGCTGTGGCTGCCCCATCCCTGGCAGTGTTCAAGGCCAGGTTGGACACAGGGGCTTGGAGCAACCTGCTCTAGTGGAAGGTGTCCCTGCCCGGGGCAGGGGTTGGAGCTGGAGGAGCTTTAGGGTCCCTTCCAGCACAAACCATTCCACGATTCTGTGGTGATAGCAAAGCAGCTGACAGATAGGAGGAGAGAAGACGTTGTTCCTAGAGCATTATATATAACCTCAGGATGTATTTCAGGTAGCTCAGTAAATGTTTTATAAGGACTATTCCGGCCGTTTCCTGCGGTAAGATAGTTTGGAGATGAAGTTAGATTTCTACCTGATCCCTGTTATCCCTGTGTTTCTTTTCAGAGACATCCAGCAAGAAAACTTCCGTGGAAATCACTCCCACTGGAGGAGCTTCTCCTTTGTTCACAATCACTATTTGTTCTTTGTGTGTTTCCTGATCGTGCTGCTCTCCATCCTGCTCTACCTGCTGAGGCTCAGGCGCATCCACCGGCGGATGCTGCGCAACGCCTCCTCTACTTCCCTATGGATGGAGGAAGGCCTCCCGCCACAGAAGATTGCAGGAGCCATATGAAATGCTGTGATGGAGAGAGCTTTCCTTGGACTTGCAACACAAAAAGCCATTTTTGCCTCAGGGTTCCTCCTTCTCGTCCCTTTAAACCATTGAAGAAGCAGGATGTCATACAGAAATACGGGAAAATGGGGTCAACTTGGCTTAGTCTCATTAGACAATATTTGCCAAAAATTACCTTTTTCTTTGAAATATTGCACTTTTGTGTGTAATGGGATGAGCAAAAGCTTCGTCCTCGGTAAATGAGTAGCAGCAGCTTAAGCTCTGTATGGTAAGAGAATGAGTGTGAGTTCTCATCCTAGGGGTGAGGCTGTGAGATACTGTTACGCTTGGATGAATGAGGACTGTGTTCAATTTCTTTTCCAGATTCCAGGATTGGTGTCACTTCTCAATTCAGAGCCTCCTCAGTCAAAGAAAAGGAAGGGCAGGGTTTTCCAAAGCAGTAAGAAAACACCCTTTTAGGCCAACTGGTGTGACTTTGATGTTCTGGAATGAGTACTGTGATGGAGAAGAAAAATCTGTTGCACCCAATGCTGTGCTTCCACAGAACTGCTTAAATCAGTTTTGTGTCTTTGTGACAGTTTCCCCTTTTCTCTTGGAAGCTCTATTCTAGTGGCAAAAGTCACCACTTCTGAAACCTTGATTTCTCTTCCATAATCACTCAGAGATCTCCTGACACTCCAGTAGGTGAAGAGAACTGGAATATGCCTGAGCTTCTGTTTCTGCTAGAGTAGGCAGTGCACAGTGTCTTTTTGTTTGGGTTTGAGTACTCTGATTTGTTAATTTATATTTTATTTAAAACGGTTGATTTTACTTGAAAGTAAATTTGTCCATGATTAAAAGTGGGATTTATATGAACTTCTGGTGTATGGGTGTTTTCTTGCACGTTATCACTTCTATTCTCTCAGTTTGTATCCAAGTGGCAACACTTTCTTCTCGTCTAGTAGGTGTGAGTGTGCTGGAAAACTGGGTGCTGTTTTCATTGGAGAGCCAGGCACGTTGATACCATGTTTGTCATTAAGGTGCAGCTTATTCATCTCAAAGCCAGGGGGTTTGAATTGTTTTGTTGTCTCCTTCTGATATGCTTGCTTTTGCCTAGGACTACAGAGAATTTAGTCTTTGTCTGCTGAACTGCAGCTAAATCCTTGCTTCTTCCATGCAGTGTCTCGGAGAGTCAGCCAGAGGATTAACTTTGAACCACCAGTGGAATCTTGAGCTGAATGTTCAGAAACACCAAACAGCATCTCTCTTTTCATAAAGGATTCTTTGTACCTGACAGACTGAAGCACTTCCCAGCCTGTTCTGCAGCTTGCTATTTTTTGAGCAGCATCTGAGTGAGTGTTTCCATAATCCACCTCTCACTTCTGATGCCTGGACCTGTGATACAAACGTGTTGCACTCCTAAGCTGATAAGAGCTATCAGAAAGCTGCCAGCACCAATTGTCAGAGAGCCTCTGCTTCCTGGTTTAGAGATAGCCAACACCAGAGCACAGAGCCTCTAATTGCAGGCTGAGATAAAGCAGCCTCCTTTGGACAAGGGCTGACGTTAGTGGTGAAGTGGTGAGGAAGTATCAGTGTGTGACTTGGCAAAACCCAGGCAGATGCCAAGCATCTCTTAGCAGAAGAGATAATGTCTGAAATGCAGCAAGGAAAAAGACAATAAAACAACTTAGGAAAATCATAAACCCATTAAAAAGGCAAAGGCTGTTTCAGACCTAAAATACAGTTTCCTTCTAGATGCTGCAGCACTTTTGTTTTAGTGAAGTTCTTAACATGTAAGAGAAGGCAAAAAAACCCCTCTTGTTGATAAATCAACTCTAAAACGAATTCTTTCATAGAATCAGAAGTTCCTTTTTTATTAAATAATGGACAGTTTTTGGGGAAAAAAGCTATTGTGGCATTCC